TCGCTACGCGATTACTTGTGTAAATTTGTCAACAATCAGCTTTTCAGTCTTGTCCTCAAGTATCACAAGTTTTTACACCTGAAGCGTGAATTACGAGATGATACGATGATCAGGAGTGAAGGGACAATCACAAAAAGACGACGATGTAACAATTTTGCTTTTGTCGTCCTTTGACTTTTTCCTTTTCTATATTGATATTATTGTAATAATACCAGCTGCTGACATTTTCTCTCCTCAAAACCTCTTGAAATGTGGTATTTTTTCTTCTCACTCGGAAACGAGTACCCATTTCAAGATTGTCTTAAAGAATCTTTCACTATCTGATGCATTTCTTCCCGTTTATTTTTACGTCTTTTATACGGTGTTGATCAATTCTTTTCCAATGTTTATTTTAATTATTCTTTTCGTACGTCAGTGTCATTCATTTAAAGAGAAGCCCTAAAATATGAAATATCCTCTTCTACAAGAGCAAATATTTTTTTCGTCTCTGTTAAAATTTCATGATTTTATCATATTTCTTTTTTTCTTGTGTTTGTATCTTTTATTGGGCATGATTTGTCGTTTTGAGGTTTCCTTCTTGTTTCAATTTTGTCGAAAACAATTAATAACATTTATAATAAATTATTAATTGTAACTGAGGTCAATGCAATAGTTGGTTGTGGTAATGGAACCAACTGCAATGTCATAGCCGTAAGACCGTGCATACCTTGCTCCCCCCTTCCTCGAAACTGTGAACAATACCTCATTATCATCTAAGGCGAAGCCTTGCCCTTGACGTATTATCTTGTTTTAGCACTTGAAGTTTCTTTTTTGAATACCAAGGCTTTCATGAGGTCAAACAAGCCAGCCACTCCAAAGGTCAAACCGCCAACCACACATACAGACATTTTCTTCGATCTGAGATTTAAAACTTCGTTTTTATACGTTTATTATTATTATTATTACTATATTATTAATAATTTAAATAGTTTTGTCTATAAAGTTACTGCAATGCTATGCTATAACAATGAAGGGATAATGAGAATATCAATATGTTACAATTGCAATTTTTCGAATACCAAATGAATGTGGATAAAAAGTTCATCAGCAAGGGCCAGAGGTGGGGTAATTAAAATCCATCTATAAATAGAAACTATTAATACTGAATGGAGAGGGTTTCCTGAGAGCAATTGTTTTATCCATAATCCAAAACTACAATTGGCGTTATCTCGCTGAACCCTAGTATATTGTATATAGCATTAAGCATACGCAACCTATCAGAACGGTTTTTCTCCCAGCAGTTTATATTTCTTTCTTGCAAACGAAACCTTTTTATTCTTTTGCAAACAAAACATACTTTTTATGCATGATAATATGTAATTGACTTTCCAGACAACCGTAGCTCTGTGTTTCGTAATTAGACTGACAGAAGAACGTAATCGTTTACAGGTGGACCCCCCCGTTTCCGCACGTCGGAGGGAGATTCGACCAAGTTGAGTTGCAAACGCAGCGTGGAATCGTGGCGACTGGTCCTTAGCGGTGGGGATACCCAAGGGAAGTTTTTAACAGTGTGGCGGGTTTTAGCGCAATGTCATGGCAGCTACTCTCCAATAGGGGGTCTACATTTGGTGAAAGACAGTTGAATGGCAGTTATTTATATTTTTTTTAAAACGTAAATAAATGGTTTACAGCGGAATGGAGTAGATACATTGTTAAATAAAATAATCTTCTTGCTTTTAAAGACGATGATCCCTAACATATTGTCATATTGATTTAGTAATTCATGTTTGTGCTGAGAACGTTTTTCACGGACGTAGTTACGATTGAACAGGAAAAATCTTATATCGTATAATTCATTTCATGACAAAAATTTAATAAGTTTACAAGTATTTACATTAATTATATACAAATTAAACTTGCACTTAATTCTTGTTAATTCAGAGAGTGGTTAGTATTTTGATTTTCGTTCACTTCAATCATAGATTATTTATCGACCGCAAAGGAGGGTTTAGGAATTTATATGTCAATTAAACATGCCACAGTTTTAAATGCAGCAAAATAATTTAAAGGTAATTGCGATTTTTCAATACATTTTTTTTTCTTTTTTGGGCGACAAATTAGCCAGAACTTAACGCCATTCAATACCAGCTAAGGGCGTTAGTTTTCCTAGACTACTTCTATTTCTGATTCCCCTTTGTAGTCCTCGAAATAAGGATACTTTTGGTAAATGGAAAAAAAAATACTCATCGTGACACGTGTATTTATGAACCCGTCGGTTAACACTGTGCAGAATGCTATTACCCTCTATCTTAAAAGTAATTGAAATGTAAACCCATGCTTTTTTCATGTTATTATCCACTTCTGTAATACAAAAGCAACCGTTTTCGAAGGAAAAACGCGTTAAAAATTTCATCATCATTTTATTGCAAGATAACATAGTAAAAAGTCCATGCACAAAGCTTGTTCAACACTCAAGGTAATGGTTGCGTCGTCACATGTCACAGGGAATGATCGAATGGTCAGCATCTCTGTATTACAGATAAAGAACTTGAGTGAGATGTTACATTACAATAGATCCGACAGTGAGATACTGCATCCGTTATTTAGACCTAGAAACTTGGTTTTAATCTCCCCTCCAAAAGGAAATGCTATTACAAATCGAATTAATTGAATGTTTTATAATAAATGGAAAATAAAAGAACAATGAAATTGTTTATTCTAACATATTTCTACTTCTTATTTGTTAATTGTAGCAAATTGAAGGAACAAAACTGATGAAATTTTGGAATGAAAACGTAAATTTCAAATGACGAATGTATCACATGCAGTATTATACACGAATTAATATACAGAAGTAAATATAACTATCAGAAAATTAATATTATTAACCATAGCATCACAAACTATATTATATTAAAAAGTACTCTGTATAATAAATTGCGGCGATAAAACGAAGCATGAGTATAGACTGCAAAGGTAAAATGTCTCCAATTGGTTGAGACAGAATTCTCGCATCTCGGAATCACAGATGGTTCAGAGTGAAACATAGGATCTAAATCCACCCTGCAACTAACTGTGTGTTAAGTGTCTGATTCTGCGAATCGCTTGTGCTCCAGACGAACGGACGACTCCCCGTCGCGGCTGCGCGCGCGTCGTGGAGTGTTCGCGAAAGTGCCGTCCCGATGGAGAACTCTCAAGCAGGACTACATCGGCGCGGCGCAGGCGGCGGCGCGTCGACGCTTCGACGTGAGTTTTTCGTTTGCTTTGCTAACGAGTTGTGAGTTTTTTAGTTGCATATTTAGTGCATGTAGTATATTTTTGGTTTGAAGAGAATCTTGTCTAGTTAACTCGCCTAGTTTAATAAATATGAAAAAGACTTAGTGTAACCAACGTAAACCAAATTATTACAAAAATTGGGTATTAACATTAGAATATCGCTATGAGTCTCGCTATGCGCTTTCTTTTTAAGTGACCGGCAAAGTCATTAAATTCCAATAAATTCGCGGCAGTGAATTATTCTTTGTATATTGTTTGCTAAAGTTATATTTTACGCTGATATTATTAACAAATCTTTATTTTTAGTCTTTATCATTCCGTATGGACTATTATTCACTAGAGAATAAAAACCATTACAGTCAAGAACAATACTGTTTATCACTGTTAATTTACTGTTCATACACCAAATTGATAATTTATCCCCTGAATTATCTAAAATAAAACGAGAACTGGCTATCATTTCAAAATAAGACTTACTAGAACACAAGTTGTTCTAATAATCCGTGCCCACTATTAATCTAAACGTTTGTGTCTGTCACCTTTCGCAAAGGTAATAGTTAAATTTGAACGAAAAAATATGGTACATTAGAATTTTACAGTGAAAAAAAAACATCCGATTTGTATTGTAACATTAGATGCATATTTCGTAAATTTGGGCGTGAAAGATAATTCAAGAAATGTTAGAACTCGGTAAGGGTATGTATCATAATGGCTTACAGCTTCGTCCTAGCACATAGATAACAAGTAATACAGTTACTACATGGTATACATATACACACATATACGAAAATATACATTACATATTACATATATAGTATATATACATATACATACATATAGCTATACATATATAAACACACACACACACACACATATATATATATATATATATTATATATATATATATTATTATATATATATATATTACCTATTAATAAGTTATGAAAAATTATTTTGTAAGTTGTAATATTAAATCTGTTAGAGACTATTTCTGTCATTCCCGTTGTCCCATAAACTGAGCTGAGGGCGTGTTTGGCGCGCAGGCGAATCGGGCGGCCGCTGGTTGTGCGCCGGCAGGCTGACGGCGTGGTGAAGGCGGGCGCGGCTGGCGGGGAGAGCATTGCAGTCACAAAGTACACGAGGTGGCCCGTACGGCGCGCGGTGGCCAGCAAAGTGAAGGAGGCCGAGGAGTCGGCCTGGGCTTCGCGAGGAAGGGCGCCTAGCACGCTCGGCACGCACGCGGAGAGCCATTCGCGTATTGGGAGATTGCCAAGAAGATGTTGAGAAGAACTCAGGGTCAGAAAACGTTTTGCAGCATCTCACAGTTGCAGTCAGAAGCACTCACGATGCTCCGTGGGCTCTGATTAGAGGAATTCTTAAGTGGTAGTAGAGGTATTCGACTGCGCTCTAATTGTGAAAATCAGCAGCATACATTGTCAAACATTTCTTTAAAAATCAAGTTTACAAAATCAAGTTTACAAAATCAAGTTTACAAAATCAAGTTTACAAAATCAAGTTTACAAAATGAAGTTTACAAAATCAAGTTTAAAAAATCAAGTTTACAAAATCAAGTTTACAAAATCTTTATTCTTTTTCAAGTCATAGTTCTCCAACATTTAACGGTCTTTCTCGCCCAATTTGTGTTCAAACAAACTGTTACGTCCGTATTGACCAGTCGAAAGCCGCCTACTCATTAGAATACCCTCTAAACTATGTATCGTGGATCTCTCGAGAAGTTCTCGCAAACGACTTCAATGGATTCGTCAACAGTCGTTTTGAACAATCTGTGCAATATGTAGCGGTTCTAGAAATGAAGTGGGAGAGGTCAGCTACTAATTCTTAATTTTCTAAAAAAATCAAAACTTTCATATCCTCATCAAGTTTGTTGCAAGATTTTGACAGGAATTTTCTGATCTCTGTGAATTACGTTCACGTAACGTTCTTCTCTGTATAAATACGTACATTATTGAAAAAGCTACTACACGGAGATGAAAACATCTTAGCTCTCTCACGTCTTTTCGAATCCGTTTCCGCATCCGTTAGCCATTGATGGGCATAAGTAATGTAATGCATGCGATGGGTCAATATTGTTCCTTATTATTATAGTTCCTTTGTTAGAACTGGAAAAGCCATCTTTCCCAGATTCTTCATGGAAATAACTTAAATAATTACATTTTGTATGTGATAACTTACAGAACAGTATATTTATTTGATGGAGTGTAATTAACGTTTATTGAACCCTTAGTAATAGATACTGTCGAGTACGGTACATGCTGTTGTAAAGAGAGGTACAAGTACGCACGTACATGCAGTCGACCACAATAAAATAAAAAAAGACAAGTAGCTTATGTAGGAGGATTAAGTGCAATACTAAAAAAATCCACGAAGAGATTTCTGATTTCGAATCAGTACTATCCTTACTGTTCCGAGTCAATAGGCATTGCGTGTATTGCATTTGTTGAAATGACTGAGTGAAGTCATGGTTGTGTTTCCGTCTTTTCAGTTATTTTTCTCCAACTATGGTTATATTTCTGTGGCGAGCACCAGTGATCCCCCCTATGATAAAATATCCGTGAAGACGTACTTCCCTTGCGGTAACATAGCATCTTCCCGGAAATGGGCCGCCATGACAGACGGGAACATATTCTAAATATAGTAAATTCGAATAATCGTACTAGATATAATTTTCTGTATTCTTTCTACCAGCAAATGTCACCAATTGAACGGATATTTGCGACATAATTTTCATGATATGCTTTACCAACGCGGTATTAACTTTGATGGACACGAAAAAAAATGCAGAACCTAGAAAATAACAGGAAAAATATTTTTTTAAGAAGCTTAGTGGAATACCTAAAAAATTCATTAAAATGTGGATATGACTTTTGTAACCCTTTCAATTGTTCCAAAGTTTGGAATTATGAGTGGAAATTTGAGTGATGAGGGAAGTATTCCAAACCAATCTCTCTAAAAAGTTCTGAAACTAAATTAATTTCGAATAGAATAAATTAGATTCAAGTTTCGTACGTGTCTTTATGAATAAAAATCTTTATTTTTACAAAAAGACATTCTTTCAACTGATAAGTTTAAAGATATTTTTTGAAATGGAAATTAATTATGTTAAGAAATTTCTAACGAAATTAAAAAGTTTATCTATTTTAAAATATAAAAAAAGGGATTTTTTCATGGAAATTTTGATTACAATTATAACATTAATTGCATCAAAATTTTCTTCAATTCATAGTAATGTACTGAGATAGTCCAATTAAAATCAGGAGAGCAAAGTAGATATTGATTTTAAAATTGATATTGTTTGATATTGTTTTTGAAACATTTTATACAGGTTAAACTTAGTGTATATTCTGATTTAAATAATTTCGATCTTCCAGAAAAAATCTTAATAAGCCAGATACAGTAGTCGAAATTCAAAAAGACAAGTAATAGTAATGTGCCAGTTATGTAAAAACAAGCGTTTATAAATTAAAACTTTTTATAAAATTAATGCTTTTGTATTTTTATATGTAATTCAAGAAAATGTAAATAAATATGTTAATATTGTAGAAAAAATGTAGTGTTTTGTTGTAGTAGGTGCTTTTCTGCTAAACCCTCTTTCCAATCCTATTACGTTATTGGAAAACTCTGCAGTGTACATACGAATAATGAAAGAACAGAACACTTAAACGAACTTAATTTAAAACATCTCAAATATTTATTCGCAAACCTGAAGATTGATTCACTCTCTGTTAAGGTTTGCAATTATACTCACTAAATATACTCTGATTACAAATTGAAAGCTACTTTAACAAAATTGAATCCTGGGCAAACATCTTGAAAATTCAACTTAATCCTGACAAAATAACAGCACAAATCGTCTCATTCAAAATGTTTTTCTCCCCCCTCCGTTAGTAATAAACACCTCCCCCATCACCTGTACCCCACCATCATAACCCATAAAATACTTAGGACTTCACCTGAACACAAAAATAATCTGGAAAACACATATAGATATCAAAATTAAATAAGCAAGAAATAAATTGTTCCCACTCCGGCCACTAATCAACAAAAACAAGTCCCTGTCCTACACAAACTGTACAACAATTTATAAATCTATAATAAGGCCTAAGGCCTAATTGCTAATGCTCCACGCATGTGAACAAACGCAGCCCTCACAAATGCCAAGAAAATCCAAGTCCAAGCGAAAAAAGATCAGATTAATCATAAATGCCCCCTGGTTCATAAGTAATAAACAACGCCATTCCGAATTAAACATCAAAACAATAATGAACCAAATAGCTCATATATAACATAATTTCTACGAAAAGCTAACAGACATACCATTTTAAACTACCGAAAAATCGAACCCACACACAAATAAAAAATAGAGTCCATTGTGAAGTCTTTCTCAAAATCTTAGCCAACCATGAAACATAAACCCGAGGTTCTCCCCTAGAGTATACTCTCCTATGTGTAGATTACGTTTACAGAGATATTTTAACTAGTATAAGTCGAAAAACACATCTGTAAAGTAATTTTACTAAACGATGTATTCCACCTAGAACAAATAAATATGTTAAAGGTTGCCGATGAAGCGTTAATTTGGTAACAAAATAACTCATAAATAAAAGTTGATATGCTATAAACTTAAGATAACGTTATATTTATTATAAGTAATACAAGTGTAATATAAATGTTAAACAGATACTCGTACTAAAATGAGAGTTTAATTGCGATTTCATATTAAATTTCGTTTAAACTTAATTTTTGCAATGATCAAAGGGTCAGATGATAAAACAGAATTCAATATGGATCTATGTTTCTAATTTCCAAGGCGAGCATAAATTGACATAAAACTTTGTAGCCTCCGGCCAGGAGGAATGTGTCTTCCAAGAAAAAACGCAATTATGGGTTTGATATATAACCAGGAAATCGGGAAAACCGAAAAATTATGATACAGTTTCAAATTTGACTGAAAAATGTACCAATGTGTTATTTAGCCTATTCTGATAACGTGCGTACGGAGTGAATTCGCAAACTCAGTGAGACTGCTTACGACACAGCTGAGATCATCCAATAGCAAGGTTCAAAGAAAAGGCCGCCCGCCATTAAATATTTCTTGCATGTTTCTTTATGGAACAGCATTTTTTTAAAATATTCTTGTTATGTAATATTTTGTTCGATTATATATTCTTACATGTTGCACTACATTACTGCAGTTCTCGCGATGACTGTTTTCTTTAAAATTTTAAATTTATTACAGTGTTATGCTAGACCATTTTATTTGTTGTTCTTGTGCAGAGTACGTGCTAGTTTTTCGAAAACCATTTTGTGTGGTTTTGTTCAGCAGCATTTTTTGCTACTGCAGGCCATTAAAAGTACCTTAATTTATTATTTGTTTGTTACTTGCTTTCAACACTGATACCCATATTTTTGCTAATATGCATGATATGCTTGAATTGTTATGAATCCGCGAATTTCTTGGGTGTTAAATGAATAAAATGTAACAGTGGAAGTGCGCTCATCAAACATTGTCGCATTGTAATACAATAATTATTATTATACACAAGTTATGGTTAAAGGTCACTTTATTCCAAGAAAGAACAATGCAGAATAGATTAGAAAGAAGAATAAAGAAACATTCCATTTGAACCCGCGAACGACGCCAACATCTCATTAACTTCTTATTTTCGCACGTGTTCGCCCGTTGGAATTCAGAGACATTCAGGAAATATGGTTGGTTGTACCTTATTGGATATTGGAGTTAAATAAACAATTGTAATGTCAAAAATACAGCTCAGTGCAACGTTTGTCAGGATGGCGAAAATGCTTTGCAGCTAATCACGTAAGATGCCAGCACAGAAATTTCGATATGGATGGCAATCAATATGGGGTAGTATAGAAGCGGCGACAAATTTAAGAATTAAAGTTTCGAATGTAAAATATAATATATAGAAGAATCAATTGATTGATGAGATTATTATCTACTTTAATATGTCTCAAAATCAATTTACAAAATCAAATATCGGAAGTAAGGAATTTTCTGACGAATTTTACCCCTTGAACTATATGGCAATTACTTTATTATCAATCTACTAACTTTCTTCGATATTCTATTTATTTACTTCGTAATTTGTTCTATTTGTATACCGAGTATACCGATACGTCATGATACTTTTTTATGTTTTGGGGTTAGACAAGACCATCTCTACAGATTCTCGGTTCTGAAAATTTGCGTAATATTTACTCTTGTCTTTATATTCCGGATTGGAGGATTTTCTTACCGTTACCAATAATAACAATACCTGTTTCAAAAATCAGATGAACATTGTATTCGTGTTCTTTAGATGACAAAGAATTAACACACACACACATTTTATATATATATATATATATATATATATATATATATATATATATATATATCAGAATCAGAAAAATAACAAGTATAACCCTGTTGTTTTTAATATTTTCTCATTATTCCTCCCCTTGCAAGCATGGACATGAATCCTTTTTGATCTTAACTTAAAATTTACTAATTTATTCCAAAACTTGGTCTTCGTATCTTATTAAAAAATTCTGTCCCTACTAAGAACTTCACTGTTCAAGTCCGCAGCGTTCTTTGCCGTCGTTCTCGCGTCCGTTTAAATTTTCATTTCAATCCAGTCCAATTCCAATCATGGCACCTCTTTCTTTCCACTCACAGTTTTAAGTCCCGTTCCATTTATAACATTTTTATCAATTAATAATTTCCACCATGGATTTGTTTACGAAATCGGAGAACACTCCCTCAACAACTGATCATTATCAAGTCGTCACACTTTTTACCCTCCAATTACCATCGCCTCAGACATTCTTCTTTTTCTGGTCTGCACATCTGGAATTCTATTACGTAAGGCTCCTTTACAGTATATATTAAGAATTACGGAATTCATCTTTTCCCAACTTCCGCAGTTTAGCCACATTCAAATGCGATACGAAACGGAAATCTATTGTGTAGGTTCCACCCTGATAAGGAGACCAATGTTATGTGGAAATAAGTTCTTAGCAACAAGACATAGTTTAGTTCGGCTTTTGAGCTGTTAACACGCGATTAGGAGGCACACCATCGGCTCATGTTTGTGGTTTTGGAATTTATTATCATCAGGGGTACCATCAGTTTCGCCAATGACTTACGATATTCTACATGATTAGCAGGTGAGTGATTAGCGAAACGTCATTATTTCACGTCGGCTTCACGTCATTCTCTTCATCGGCTTTTGTAAATGGATGAGGGTAGAGTAGATGAGGGTAGTATTATTGATAAATTGTAGAATTTCTAATTGATCGTCTTTCTTTTCTAACTTGCTATTTAGAATATAGGTTGTTCATTGCATCCCACAATATTAGTTGTAGCTCAAATTCTTTAATGTCTTACATATTATTATTATTATTATTATTATTATTATTATTATTATTATTATTATTATTATTATTATGACACTACATTTACGCATCTTTCTAAACTCCGAACCACCGGGAGAAAACTCAGACTTTAAAACAAAGATATGTGAGCGCTTATAAAAAAAATTGAACAGTAATGTGTATCATCATTATTTTTTATTACTAGTACTTCTTACAATAGATTTAATATCGATACATTTAAATAAGATTTATATTCTACGGCGAATTCGCAGTAATTCAGAACGTAAAATAACGCCATGTTCCGCGTGTAAATTATTTTTAAAAACGTATTATCTTGCAAAAACAAAAACATCAGATTCAATGAAATTAAATTAATGACGTAAATGTTCAAATTATATTAAAAAATACGGGATGCATTGGGCTTAAATGCCCCTTTGAGATTCATGGACCCTTGATGTACTAGTTGCACCCTCTTTCCTCGGGCCTGCCTACATTTCATTACAGTAGGTTATTGTCAAATCATAATAGCCATGGTTTTCAAATCAACTCACCGTGGAATAGTTTGACATGCTAATTTGGCACCATTTTCTTATTCCCTCTTCACGCTTACGCTAAAGATTCGTTGCGATTAGACCTTAATTCCGGGTCTGACATAATTTGACCGCAGAGATATCTCAGCGGCTCGTTGGGCAAAGGTCGGGGCTGTTCGGGGCGCTTCGGGGCGGCTCGGGGCGGCGTGCCATCACGTGGTACGCGACAGTGTCGCCATTTCCAACATTCTTTTTGCAATCTGCATTGCGTGAGGCGATTGGTCGAAAAATTCACAAAAATCATTTTATGGCCAAAAACG